AAAACTCATCAAACCTTGCCCACGTGTAAGTCCTTTTTCAAACTTTTGCTAACATACGAACCACTTAGTGAGACTTATCGTTCAAGTACGATTAAGCTCATATTTTCACAACAAACATTTTATTTCACTAAGAACTACGTAAGCTCTTACTTTCCCATCTCACTTGGGGAATACGTAGGCACAAGATTTTGTCATCTTGGCGAGCCCATTTTCAAAAACCTAAAACATTTTCCTTTTCTTTCTCGCATAATAAGTAGAAGATTGCAAATTTACTTTTCTAAACACACAAACACACACGAACTAAATAGTTCTCATTGAGTACAAATGGATGTGAGGGCTGCTAATACCTTCCCCTTGCATAACCGACTCTCGAACCTACATATTTGGTCTGAAATACCATTTCATTTTCTTTCTTAGGTTTTATCTATATTTTCCCTTTTCTCTTAGGAATTAATAAAGTTAGATGGCGATTTCATTAAATCGAGTAAATTTTTCGAGGCGCTTAGGGGTGGAAATAGGCTAGACCGATAATAGGAGCCAATGGCCTTGCCTTCATAGGCTCAGGCTATAGTCTAGCCTACATAGGCTCAGGCTATGCCTAGTATTTTTATAAGCCTATTTAGTTAAAAAGACTAGGCCTCATGCCATGAAAAAAGCCTTTTAGGCTTAACAGGCCGGCCTATATAAATAAATATGAATAATTTTTTTATTATCATTATGTTATGTTTTATAATTTGAATCAAAATACATAAATAAAACTTGGTTATCTTGGGGAACTTATGAAAATAAGATGAAAACACCTTATAAACAATGTTATAAGTTGTTTTCACAAGTCCTCTTAAACAAATAGTCTCACAAAACTTATGATAATTGGTAAGTTAAAATAAATCAATACAAACAAACTTTTAGTGTCATTGGTTTTTTAATTTGTGCGTTTATTTAAATATTATTTAAATTGCTTATTTATATATGTCTAAAATAATAGGATTTTATGTAGGCTAACATGCTAACCAGACCTTAGAAAAGGTCAGGCCCATGCCTAAAATAAGCCTATGACACGCTACAGGCCAGGCTTAGGCTTCAGGTTTTTTGGCAGGCCAGGCTTAGGATTGGAAAAGCCTAGCTCGGCCCAACCTATTTCCACCCCTACGCATTACACACTTGGCCAAGCATTGTTGGTACAAGAAAGACAAGGATTGACAAAAGGCAAGGACGAAGGAGCGAACCTTGCACATCAAGATTCATATGAATATGATGATATGGTGGTTATGGTTGCAATTGTTGATAACCATGTCGAATCCAAGATTTGGTTCCTCGACTTTGACAGCTCTAATCAAATGACTGGTCGAAAGGGGTGGCTAATAGATTTCGATGAGTCGAAGAAGAGCAAGGTCAAACTTGTTGATAATAGCTCATTGCAAGATGAATGTACATGCGACATTGTTATTCAAAGGAGCGATGAAGCTAAAGTCTTGATTAAAGATGTACTTTATGTACCTGACATGAAGTGCAGTCTACTGAGTGTTAGCCAATTGGTCAAAAAATGTTTCTCAGTCTTCATGAAAGATAGAGCTTTAGAATTGTTCGACACCTAGAACAATTTGGTCTTAAAATCTTCGTTGTTGAGAAACGGATGCTTAAGACTATGATCAGATCAATAGAGGTACAATGCTTGAAAATAGTTGTCGACCACAAGGATAGTTGGTTGTGGCATTTGAAGTTTGGTCACTTGAATTTTCGATCACTCAATCAACTAATTTCTCAAGATATGATAATTGGCATACCAAGTCTTGAGATGCCCGATAAACTTTGTGAAGATTGTTTAGTAGGAAAAAAATCCAGAAATTCTTTTGTTTCGACCATGCTAATGAGATCCTCCTTCATACTCGAAGTTGTAAATTCAGATGTATGTGGCCCATTTGAAGATAAAACCATCAGTGAAAACAAATAGTTTGTTTCGTTTGTCAATGAGTTTAATCGAAAGTTGTGGATCTATATGATCAAAAGAAAGGACGGAGTTTTTGAAATCTTTAAGAGATTCAAGATACTTGTCAAAAACCAGAGTGAGAACAAGATCAAAGTTATGCAAACAGATGGAGGTGGTGAATACACATCCAAGATGTTTAAAGAACTATATGCAAAACATGGTGTCGATCATGAGGTAATTGATCCCTATACGCCTCAACATAATGGAATTGCATAAAGAAGAAACATAACCATATTGGATATGGCGAGATGGATACTGAAGCAGAAGAATTTGCCAAAATCTTTATGGGGTGAAGTTGTTTCCACTGCAGTTTATATTCTGAACATGTGTCCTACTAAGAAATTGAAGAGCAAGGTTTCTGAAGAAGTATGGAGTGGTAAACGACCATAAGTGAGTCATTTGAAGTTGGTTGGATCTATGTGTTATAAGCATGTTCCTGATGCAAAAAGAAGGAAGCTTGATGACGAGAGTGAATCTATGATTCTGGTAGGATATCATAAAACTGGTGCACACAGGTTATTCAATCCAATCAATGAGAAAATTGTGATAATTCGAGACATTGTGATTGATGAAAATTCTGCCTGGGATCGGAATTCTAATGATGCAATTAACAATTTATTGATGAGCTATGGTTTCAACAAAGAAACTGGTGAAGTCGAAGAAAATGATGATATTCCAATCAAAGTCGAAGTAGTTGTTGTCGTTCCTAACACATTCGAAGTTAAGCAGGGTGTGGCTAGCACAAGCCATAGACCTCAAAGAACTAGAGTTCATCCAACAAGACTTCTAGGCTATGAAGTGACTGGTGATGATGGAGTACCACCAGAAGGAGAATTAGTTCATATTGCTTTACTTGTAGGTGCTGAAGCAATCAACTATAGCGAGGCTTTAAAGAATAAGTAATGGAAGTCAACTATGATCAAAGAGTTACAGACAATCAAAAGAAAGAAAGCACGGGATTTAGAAGAATTGCCAGCACACACAAAAGCTATCAAAGTGAAGTGGGTGTTCAAGTTGAAACACAATATTGATGGGTCGATAGCAATACATAAGGAAATATTGGTAGCTCGGGGATTTCTTCATAGAGTAGGACTCGACTACTCTGAAGTATTTTCTCTAGTAGAAAAATTGGAGATTGTTCGACTAGTGGTAGCTTTGGCATGCAAGCAAGGTTGGTCGACATTTCATTTAGATGTGAAATCAGCATTTCTAAATGGTCTTTTAGACAAAGAGGTTTATGTCACACAACCTCTAGGATTTGTGATTCAGAAGTAATCGAGTAAGGTGTATAAGTTGCACAAAGCATTCTATGGCCTCAAGAAGGCACCTAAGGCATGGAACATGAAGATCAACTCATACTTAGTCAAACTAAGATTTTTCAAATGCAAATATGAGTTGGTGTCTATGTTTAGGTTGCGGCATAAAATATAACGATCATTTGCTTATATGCCGATGACTTGCTCGTAACTGGAAATTGCTTGGAGAACTTATCAAAGTTCAAAGAGTCGATGATGAGGGAATTTGAAATGTCAGATCTAGGAAAAATTTGTTATTTCCTGTCATACCCTAAATTCGTCCTACCCTTTAATAAAATCATCTGACTTGTGCATCTCATAAATCTCATGTACATACCCTCCATTAGGTCATCTAACAAATCATACATTCATTAATCAATAAAACATGGCATGGGATCAAAGATGTTGAGGAATTAAGGTTTCTATATATTTTTAAGCTCTTATCTTCACTCAGGTTAGAATCAACTGGTTTGTTCTTTGATTATGGTTTGTGAAGCTAGGGTTTTATGTTTATATTCATTAAGGACTTCTTCTTTCATCAAACTTCTTCATCAAGACGCCTCAAAAGTGAGTGGATTAGGGTTATGATAATGACATGGTTTCTTACAACACTTCAAAGGAGGATATTGTGAGCTAGGGTTTTGTTTCAACAAGTACTCTCATTAATCAGGGATAGAGATTCACTTCTTTATGCCAAGTGGTTATCATAAGGATCTTAAGGGTTTGGTTTCATGGCTTTCATGTGACACATTTCTCACATCTAGGGTTTCTTTTGTTTATCATCATCGAAAGTTTGGTTCACTTGGTTATTTGCATTGCAAGACAATATTGTGGATTTGATGCAAGGATTGAAATTCATTTGTTGTCTTATGAATTATTTCAAGTTTGAAGGCATTGGATAATTTCAAAGTCTATTTTGAACTCTTAGGCTTTTCATATGTGATTTGTTCTAAAGGTGCAAGAATGAATATGTTCTCATTTGGTTAGAAAGTTAACTCTTGAAGGATGACTTTTGTAGGCCAAGTCATGTGGACTTTTGTACGAGTACTTTGCCATTACCGCAATTCCAGGCATTCATTTGGATTTGTATTTGGAATTTGGAAGTATTTAAGTATGAAGAACATTGAAGTGCAAAAGGAAGGAAAAAGACTTTCAGATTTTCTTTGAAGAAAAAATATAATTACTATGTACATTTCATGATCAATGCCACACATTTCCATCTCCTTTACACAAGCTACATAGAAACCAGCAAAAGTTACAAATTATACCCTGCGCTAAACCTATTGTCCTAAATCTTCAAGCCTTGCTTCATCTTATAAGCTTCCATGACTCCATTTTTATGGTCATTCTTCAAATTCCAATTATGCCTCATGCTCCAAGCTAATGTGTCCAATCTTACAATGAGATAACCAAAACCTGCATTCCAGTTAACAAAGCAAAAAAACAATTCATCATGTATTACACCAAGTAGTCTTAACTGCCAACAAACAGAAAAAACTGAAACAACTTCACAAAACCTGATGCAAACTTGTTACCAACATGATTGTACCAATTGTTCCCTACAAAAACAGTTCAGCAACCATGCTCACACAGAAAATTATTGAGTTTGAAAGGTAGAAAATTGAAGAAAAACAAACAGAAAAAACTGAACCAGTTCGAATTCCTTATAAAACCAAACATTATCGGCCAGTAATGCACTGTATCATCACCAAACAGCCATGCTGCAATTTGGACTTCACATGGTAAAAGAAAAATATGGGCATAAGAACAGGGCAAGGAAATTAAATCAGAAGATGATGAAGAGCTGCGGTAGAGTTTCACGACAGGAAAATAAACCAAAAGCAGGTTTAATATTAATCCAGTTCAGAAAATACATACACGTTATCAATCAGATTCAGATTTCAGAACCTATAACAGGAAAAACTAACTAGTTTCCAAATAACTAACTTACTAACAGAATTTCTCAACACCTAACTATCAATAACTAACCAATGCCAGCTCATCAATCTCCTGGTAACAGAATTAAAAAACTCCCATAACAACCATAACATAATCCTCAATCATTCTCTATCTCCAACGATCCCTATTCAGCATTCTTCACAATTTACTCTTCATTCCCTCAACATCACTCTTATTTTCCTTTATCCCTGAACAACCATCATCTCCACCATTTTTTCAGAATCACGTTAATACATCACCAATCTTCACCCCTCTCTCTGAACCTCAATTTTCCTCACTTTTCTCTCATCTTCATCTTCTACATCTCAGACTCTCTCTCAATCTTCTCCATCCCTAACCTCGCTTATACGCTCATCACCATTATTGTTAAAGTTTAAACCTCTGAAAATCTAATCAACCAAGCTAAAGCCTCCGAATTATTTATTCAATCTCCCTGCATCTCTCATCTCAAGTGTAAGAACGCATACAAGAACCACAACATTGGCAGAAAGAATATAAAAAGAAGGAGATTTTGTTGTAGAAGTCGAAGGAATTACAAGCGCTATTAACTGAAAATACCTCTGGTTTTCTATTGACACTGACTTTGTCGAAGAGTCACCAGAACTACTTCGGTAGGTAAACATGATATCCCTTCTTTCTTCATCTTTTCACCTTTTTCTTGCTACGAGTTTGCAACATACAATGTGTAGAGTAATAACCCTAACGTCTCGAACCTCAATTCTTCACCGGTGCTATTTAACTTCAGGTTGAAAAACCTAGGGTTTTGGTTATGTCGTTAGATGTAGGATTTATGGCTTAGAATTGGAGAAAAGGAAGGTGATATTTGAAGAAAGAGGAACAAGGTGTGTAAATTGATGTAGTTTAGAAGTTGATTGCTTCTCTGCCGCCACCGGAGGCGATTTTCGGTGCAGCGAGGCTTCTCACCAGGTTTTCTTCATGAAGAGTGAGAGAGAAAGAGAGAGAGAGAGAGTTGAGTTGAACTAATATGGAGATTTGAAGCGTCACCACCAAAACGCATTGTGTTATCAATTCTATTTTTATTTTGTATTTCTCTCCATTTTCTTTTTTTATTATAAAAGAAAATAAATAAATCGGATGCTTGTGCTCTTGGATCAATAATAGTTGGGCCTAATATCATTTTGTTGTACACACACCTCTCTAAGCCCACTAACATCATTTTTGGACATGTTGAAAGTTTAGTGCAACAAAAATAATTTCTAGACCCTGATGCCAAGCCCAAACGCATCCTGAGGTGTGTTCAGACCTTCTGCTGGTCCAGATGTCAGCTTATCAATACACCCCTGGTCGTTCATTTAGATTTTGTATTTCGTTTTAGTTTTACTTGATTTTTGGCAATAAAAACATATAATAAAAACAGTAGAAAAAGTTAGAATTTTAAGATCTTTTCTTGAAAATAATTAGAATTTTCTTTAGTTCTTTTACTACTTTGTAATCACTATTTTTGTTCATGATTCTCTTTATCATTTATCGTGCTTTTGGTGCAACTTCTCGATTCAAATATTGTATGATGTTTTTAGTGATACTTGTTACTTGATTTTTGTAATTGCTTGAATGTGATACCATGTTCCCTTAGGTTTATTTTAATTCAATTTTAATCTTAGATTAAATTGAACTAAAATTAGACTTTAGGCTTTGAAACCAAGCATGACAACAATTAAGTAGAATTTCCATTAATCCAAATCTTAGGTTCGTATTGCATGACAACATTACGATTAGTCTTACCCTTAGTCATTTTCTTCTTTTTGCATTGCATTCTAAAACTAAAACCTCATTTTCTTAAATCAAAAATTCAAAACACTTAATCATACTTAAACACTTTCCATAATAACAAAACATAAACAAATCAACGTTGCATCTTGCCTTGAGGGCGTAACTCAAAACCTTTTCCAAAGGGTTCGTCACCTACAAAAAATACACAACAAACCAAAAAATTTGAGCTGAACTACGGTGCTCTGATTACTTAAAAGGGATACGTAGGCATTAGGTTGCAGGGCCTAAGCGAGCACAACTATTTAAAACCTTTATTTTCCCTGCATTTTCCTTAGGCAATTCATGCATGCATTCCCTTAGCAAGTAAGCATTAGATATAACACACCCTTTGATTCGAACAACAAGAGTGGATCCCATGGAGTACCACGGACGTGAGGGGGTGCTAATATCTTCCCCTTACATTATTGACTTTCGTATCCTTTCTCTTGGTCGCAGGACCATCTTATCCTTCTTTTTGGGGTTTTCTCGATATTTTCCCTTCTGTAGGGATGAATAAAGTTCGGTGGCGACTCTGTGTTTTTTCGCGGCACGACATTTACTAGGCATGGAATTTCAAATGTGAAGCAAGATATGATGTTGCATCAAAGTAAGTATGTCAAAGAGATACTCAAGTGATTCGGGATGGATGATTTGAATTTTGCATCTTCGTCTGTCGAACCAAATTTGAAGTTGGAGAAGCATGGAGAAGAAAACAAAGTCGCTGCTACTTTGTTCAAAAAAATTGGGGGATCTTTGAGGTATGTGTGCAACAGTCGACCTGATATAGGTTTCACAATCAGATTAATAAGCAGATACATGAGTGAACCAAGGGTTATCGCACATGAAGGATGCAAGAAAAATTTTGAGATACTTAAAAGGATCGATAAACTGCGGAATTTTATTTCGATGATATTCTAAAAGAAAAGAATCTACAGTTACTTGTTTTTTAAATGTTGGTTGGTGTGAAGATAAGGAAGATCAAAGAAGTACAACTGGTTATTTCTTTCAAGATTTGGTGCCCCAATCTCATGGTGCTCGAGAAAGAAACCTATGGTAGCATTGTCATCATGTGAAGCTGAATATATATATAGTAGGATCTTATCAAGTAATTTGGATCAAATATGTGTTGGAAGAGATTGAGGTCGAAGTGAAGAAACCTCTAGTGTTGAAAATCGAAACAAGTAAGTCATTAATTTTGCAAAGAATCAAATTATGTATGGAATGAGTAAGCATATTGAAGCTAGATTTCACTTCCTAAGGAAAAAGGTAAATCGAGATGAACTTTAAGTAAGGCATTGCTTAAGTGAAGCATAATTGATTGGAACATGCTTGATATGTTAGATGTGTTTTTTTTGTTTTGTTGATTGGAACATGCTTGATATGTAGTCTTAATAAAATTTAAAGTTAATTAAGCTAACATTCAAATTCTTTTATGCTATATATAATGATTATGTTGTTCGTGCCTTTAGAATATCCATGCATTAGTCTTTGTGTTTTTGGTTAATTGCATTTAAGCATTTATGAAATATTCTATTTGGTTAATTGCATTTAAGCATTTATGAAATATTCTATATGAGTAATGTCGCTTGCTCAATTTTCTCTTTTGCATGTGCAAAAAAAATATAAGTTGTAATTAAGGATCTCGTGTCTAAAAATGAGGCATTTTAGAAAGTGCTTGGAAAAGAACATTCTGGATATGTTCGTAGTATGGGATTTAGAGTTACGCCATCTCAGATTAATAGATCTACGAGATTGGCGTCTTCTTCTGAATAAAATGAAAAAAGTAAAGCACATACAAGAAGAAATTAATGCACTTACAAAAAGGAATTAAAAAATTGACGAATTGATGGAGGAAATTGCATTCTTAAAGCAAAACGACAATGCTAGAAAAGAGGAAATTTAACTTTTAATACAAATGCAAAATTCTAGTGGAACACGTGTATATTATTTTGATGCGTTTAAAATAATGAGTATTATTTTAAAGAGTATATTATTTCAATATACTTTCTGGGGATTGGAATCATCCGTTGATGGTAGACGTTCTTCTGAGTCTAGCTACTTAATTGCAGATAATGGATCATCAAGAAGGATAAATTAGAATTTGCTATGAATTAATTAGATTATGAATTTTCCTATGTATTTTTAGGAATTATGATGCTTATTATTATAAGATTAAGATTTGATATATTTTTGGTTTATTGTACTATATGACATGATTATAGAACTCACATTTTTTTTATATCATGATGCTTATTTGATATTGTTTCTGATTGGAATTTTATTACGTTAAAAAGTGATAGAAAATAAAATAAAAAGATAAAGAAATATTACAAAAAATAATAATAACTTAAAGAAAAAATAATACAATAAATAAAAATATTTTTGTTGATAATAATTTAAATAAAAAATAATACTATAAATAAAAATATTTTAGTAGATAATAATTTAAATAAAAAATAATATTATAAAAAACATAATACTATAGATACAAATTAATAATGGTTTAAACTTTTGTTAAAAGTAAAAATTAAATAATTAGTAGCACTTTAAACCAATACTAGATAATTTATATTATAAAAATTTAAATCAAATTACGAAGGTTTGAATCGTCAGGATATCACACTCACGACGATTTACACCCAACATTGAAAACAAAAGTCAAACTAAAATTCACGACAGTTTGTAACCATCACAACTTGTAATTTATGTTAGTTGCATGCCAATCGTAATTTAGAATGACAATTGGAGTAGTAGTTTTGGCAATCATCGCAGTACAACTTGGCGACAAACATTTTTGCGACAAAATTGTGACTTGTGATTTGAGGCGGTGCTAACCGCCATAACCTTTCAAAATTAACCGCCGCAACTTGCCAATTTTCTTGTAGTTATATATCCTTTCGTTTCTTTTTAATCATCTTAAATGTTTATTTTGAGGCCTTCCATTCAACTGGAGCAAGGTACCAATCGATTGACACATTAGTTTTAGCCCAAGAGATTTTCCTTTTTGTGCCACCCTCTAGCCTATAAATAGAGGTTATTCCCTTCACATTTTTACATCCAGAATCATGAGCATTCTATCTCACGCATTACTCTCTCTATAATAATATTTTCAATTTTCTCTCACATATTGTTAGCCGTAGTGCTTCAACAAAGTTCTTTTGTTTAATGAGAAATTGTTTGTATTCTTGAAGGACATTGTTGT